GTGTAAGATTGGTTGATTGTTGAAAACATGTATTTACAGTCTCTTTGTTCAGCGTAAGTCTATTTAAACAGCATACCCGAGTTTTAGATCATATGTTGATGAGACGCCGACTCTGAGCGCCCAGCGCAGACGTTCTGATCGAATACGTGTTGTCGTTGCGTATCCAAGAGCAGGTTAATACTGTCTTGCTTTTAGAATACTTCCACAATATATACTTACAGATGATTCCGAGCAGATGTTGTTGTTGGCGGATGATCCGGGCCCATCCGGGGAGATGCGTGGTGGTGTGGTGCCAATGCCATCGACATCTTCCGCACAACCGGACTTGCGCGAAGAGCTTGATCCTTTCAAAATTCGTACACTGTTGGACAATATGAAGCAGATGGTTGCTGCTGACACCGCTGAGAGACCGTAGGTTATGCTTCAAGTTTTCGTTTAGGAGCTTTTTGAAAATCATTATCATTATCATCTAGGCCATCTGGGACCTCTCGCAGTACATTGTGTGGTCGAACCTTTCGTTCTGGCAGCGCCAGGAGCTTATCTACCATGGCAGTGCAATCGTTTGAAGTTGGTCAAGGAGTTGGAGCCGCTCCAAAACGACGCAGTATCCTTCATTCATTGTTCTCTTCAAAGAAAAATGGTAAAAAGTAGGAGCAGCATGAAAAATTCACTGTTATCATCTTTTCTCTATACGATCACAAACACGAAAAACAAACAGGTAAGTGGGATTTGTGCAAAAATGTAGGGTGATATTTCATTGATAGTGACAATTATTTGCAGTTTGATTATCACATTATACTTTGTTAGTTTTGATACACACCTTTCTTCGCCTTATATCTTACACGTCTTCTCAGATTCGTATGATATTGACAAAGTGTCCTATTCCTTGTTTCAAGCATCATCGATAGACTTTGTTAGGATTGATGTGGTGTGCTATATGATCGCAGAGCAGTACCAAAGGAGATGCGCAAATGAGGCAACATCTAATTTAGTTTGACGTTCAGAGAGCAGGCAATCAAAATTATTATATCTTACTAACCTTTCATAGTCGCAGTGGGTGTAGAATACCATTTGATTACCATATATACACATTCAGTAACTTTTCAATAGGATGATACTCAAACTTTCGGGCAGACTGGCGTCGCATGAAAACTGCTGCACAGAATATATGCTGTCTTTAAGGTGCCTTTCCTCGTCATCCAATAGATCTGTGTTTACGTAGTAATATACTTTTTATATGATCTTCTGGCACACCAATAACACTAATAACCATTGATCGCATTCATATTTACACATCTCTAACTTCAAGTGATTAAACCAATGCATGCGCGTCAGCAGTTCTGGGGAGTGATAATGTCCAGAATATGTTTTCAAACATATTTGCAAACCACGTTGTTCTTTCACGATAACCAATTTGCGGTATGTTTGCTTCATTCCGTCCTTTCACCATTTCTGGATTTCCATTTCCTATGCGTTAGCAGCCACATTTTCTTCTCGTGTCCTACTATATAGTCATTGGATCGTGTTGTTATTGTTTTATCAGACAAATCTGTTTTCCTAGAAAGTTGAACATTATTGTGTCTTTATGATGTAGCCAAATTAAAGGTTTCCAACAACGAACCAAGATTAATGCAATATGAAAGTAAAAACCATTAATGGAGGTAAGCAAGTGCCATAAAATTGATGACCCAGCATTGCAAACTATGTCCACCAAGAAACTTCTGATAAATAAATCTTTGAAACTGAAAAACCCAGAAAAATTAAGGAACCTTTTTTGTTTACACGTATAGAAGGCACAGATAGTTATCTACAATTTTGATGTGATTCTACCTCTTCCATTGGGCCAGACTAATCTCTATCAAAAGCATGCCATTATTTGTGTGGAGAACAGCCAAAGAATCTTGAGTCATACGAACAGTCGAGTCATGTAACCGAGATTGCAAAAAAAAGCGCTTAAGGCCCAAGACAGAGTTCACGCGATTTCATCGCCTCCATGAAATCGCGACAAGACAACTGTCGCAAAATCATTGCATGCCGATCAGCTTGCATTTCCTTTATGATAGTTTCCTGCTCGAAATCCATCAGTGTAGATAAAATGAATGAAAATCGCGACGATGAAATCGCGTGGACTCTGTCTTGGGCC